ACGGCAAGACAATCAGCTTTGCAAAGCCTATTGACCAAAACACACATACATTATGAGGCTACAACCAGAAACATGGCGACTCAGATGGGAAATGGGGAGGAGCAGAGTTAACAGACCAGGAAATGAAACTTCATGCGACGCTAGAAAAGGAGCCGCTAACTGACCCTGATGACACTTACTACTGCGACGGCCATAGTCACCAGACGCTAGACAGAGAACTTGTTACTTCGTATGCTGTGGTGCACAGGTCAAGGGGAAGCTGGGAAACAATCACAACAGGCATAGTTCCTCAGCCTGCCTCAGCACAAACCGCAGAGTTAATGGCTCTGACAGAAGCGTGCAAAGCAGCTGAAGGAAAAAGAGTGAATATCTATTCTTACTCTGCCTACACTCTACAAGCAGTCCACATTGATTTATGCCACTGGAGGAGAAAAGGATTTGTAACTATCAATGGGACTCCTGTCAAACACCTGCAGCCACTGCTAGATTTATACCACGCACTAAAGAAACCAAAGCAAGTAGCAGTAATGAAATGCAAGGGACATCAGACAGAAGCCTCAGAGGTAGCTAGAGGTAATAATGCTGCAGACCAGGCGGCTAAGCGCACAGCAGGATACACGCCAAGACACCAAATGATGCAAAAAGCGGAGGATCCAGAAAGTGCTAAGCTAGACTTACAACATGTCGTGAAGTTGCAAGAACAAGCTGCACCTACAGAGAAGCAAGTCTGGCTGAACAAGGGAGCCAGCAAAGGCAGTGAAGGTTTGTGGAGAAGCCACGAGGGGAAGGTAGTGGCCCCGGCGGTGTTGTTGAATATGTTGTGCCAGGAGGCCCATAGTCGTGGACATGGTGCCAGTGGACTTATGATAACGTTAATCTCCCAACAATGGTGGCATCTATTCCTGACCGACATAGCTAAATATTATGTCCAAACATGTGAGATCTGTTGTAAACACAACCCGAAGGTGGCGTTGAAGGCTGGACTTGGAAGTTTCCCTGCCCCTATGGCACCATGGAAAGAGGTGGTAATTGACTTCACAGACATGGGAATGAAGAATCGAGTTGAGGGCAAGAGGTATTTGTTGGTATGCGTTGATCCTTTTTCTAGGTGGGTGGAGGCGATCCCCACAAAATCAGAAAGAGCAGCAGACGTAGTAAAATGGCTGACCAGAGAACTAATACCCAGATTTGGAATTCCAGAAGTCATACGATCGGATAATGGTTCACACTTCTCGAACGCTGAACTACAAGAAATAGAGAAAACGTTCGGGATCAAGCATAAATTTGGGGCAGTTTATCATCCTCAGTCTCAAGGGCTAGTTGAGAGAGCTAACAGAACCATAAAGGAAGGTTTGGCTAAAGTCTGTGCTGAAACGAAGCTGACGTGGGTGGCAGCCCTGCCAATAGTGCTGTATGGGATAAGATCATGTCCTAACTCTAAGTTAGGGATAAGCCCCCATGAGGTATTAACGGGAAGAAAGATGCCTTGTCCGTTAACAACCACTTTGCCTACCACTGTCAGCCCATTGCAGTACCAACATGTGGAAATATCTGACTATATGAGAATGTTGAATAATACTGTGATGAGTATCTCTCAACAGGTGACAGAGATCCTTTCTGGAGAAGAAGAAGGAGAGGGTGCACCAGTGGAGGTGGATGACTGGGTACTACGGAAAGTAGCCAGATTCAGTTGGACTGATCCCCGCTGGGAAGGTCCATTCAAAGTTGCAGAAGTAACCACGCACTGTGTGAAAGTGTGGTTAAAAGAGGACAAATTAAGTAATTGGATACACAAAACGCACTGCGCTCGCTCTCTCCCGCCAACAGAAAGAACCCTGGCTGATGTCAGGATAGGCTTGTCCCTGCTGTCCAAGGAAGTACAGTCAGATTGTGTCGAACCCATTGTTCGTCCAGAAGAAGAGCCCGAGGAGGGGGACGAGCCCAGATATCGGTTAAGATCGAGGAATATAGAGTAAACGAGACTCAGAACACCGATGTCAGTAAACTAAGGAGCCGCTACTCCGTTTTCGTTGCTAAAAGAGGGAGTCGTTTTCAGGCTCCCCATAAGGAATTAATCCCTTGAGGTGGAAGAAAGCATCTCTTAACAATCAGTGCAGTAAAAGTAGTCTACATCTCAATAAAAGTATCTTGCATTCTAAAAGTTGATCAAGCTCTGAAATCATGAGAACTCCTCTAGGATGTACTGGGGCTAACATAGGATTAGTACTCCTTTTCATTACTCTGATAGTGTTTCTGCCTTTTCTCTGGTGGGAATTACAGCTGAAGAACTTAGAACAGAATGTTAACAATCTGACCACGTCTCAGGTAGAAGCAGAAGACCAAAATAGCAGGGGACTCCAGCGGAGGGTTAGAGCAGTGGGTACACACCGCAAGGTGGACGGTGTCGTGACATTAGAATTGAATAAAACCTACAGAACCCAAGTGTTCCGAGTAGATCTGTGCTCACTGATTGGATGTGGACCAAATGAACAGAAGTGGAGGGGATATGATGTATACATGTGTCTGTTCCCCTGGGGGAGGCTCATAAAACATTGGTGTACATCCTGGGACATGGTAGGATGGAACACAGGCCCATATGGTTACACATCGCCTTCTTTCAAGAGACAGTGGGGTAGTAGAACTCCGGGGGTGGATTTACAAAAAGCCATTACACTGATTCAAGATCAATCGGGGGCTCGGGATAAGGGGCACAATCCTTTAATGATTTCTGTGACCGGATTAGCAGAGTCACCATTTGCTCCAAGAGCAGTGGGCACCTATTACGGTATGAGTCATGAGAAGAGTGATCCTACTCAGTGGTACATGGTTATAGGAGTAGATGTAGCCGATAAAGATCCATTGGCTTTGATTAAATTTAAATACGTGTCACCTGACATTGAGGGGAAACCCACTACTGCCGAGGCTGAAGAAGTCACTGAGAACCCCAAGGGCCAAAATATAGCAAAAGATCTAGCTGTGATCCACGACAAACTTTCCGCAGAGACGGGGTTCTCCCAGACAAATTACTGGGTGGATCGGATCACAACTGCGTCCCAGCAAATGGACTCCGCTGACTGTGTGGCCTGTGCAAGTGCAAGACCCAGCCTATGGACAGTGCCCTCGGTCCTTAGCCAGGCCGGTAACATTGACTGCCTGATAGAATTACATACTAAAGAGAATCCAAGTGAAGGTTGCAAGTCGTGGGTAACTATTTTTCCAGGATCACAACCACAAGCAATCCCTCCCATGTTCACTCCCATAAGTGGCGATTATACCTGTTTCACTAAGCATCTTAAAGGGGGACTGAACGTAGGTTCCTTAACCGATTCATGGTGCAATGTGACAATTGATGTAACCACCTGGACAAATATGACCAAATTGACCCAGGCCCGCTCTGATATCTACTGGTACTGCGGCGGTAGGAGATTACTTAATGTACTGTGAGCTGAGTGGCAGGGGAAATGCACCTCAGTTTCCCTCATCGTTCCGCTTAAAATAGTTCCAATAACCGCTGAAACATTGAGTAACGAGGCAAAAAGGCGTAATTCATTCAGTCGCAGTAAAAGAGAATTTAGCCTAACAGAAGGATCCCCTGTTTATTTCGATGCTATTGGGGTGCCGAGAGGGGTACCTGATCAATACAAGTTAACGGATCAGATAGCGGCCGGATGGGAATCATTGTTCCTTTTTATAACTGTAAACAAAAATGTGGATCGACTAAATTATGTACATTTCAATATCCAGCGACTCACCAATATGACGAGAGATGCTCTGGAAGGGGTGCACAGCCAACTATCGGCCACCTCATTGATGACTTACCAGAACCGGATGGCTTTGGATATGTTATTAGCTGAAAAAGTAGGAGTGTGTGCGATGTTTGGCCAAGTGTGCTGCACTTTTATCCCCAATAACACCGCCCCAGATGGATCCTTTACTAGAGCATTACACGGACACTGAACACTCTGGTATAGACGGCACCGTCGGTAATTGGTTTGGTAAATACTTTGGACAATGGAAGGGCTTCTTCCTGTCAGTTTTTCTGACCTTAGTAATCGCAATAGTGGTTTTTGCCCTTTGTGGATGCTGCTGCATCCCCTGTATCAGACAACTATGTCTCCAATGCATCACCTCTGCAATAGATGCTAAAATACCCCTGCCATACCAAAAGTTAAGTTCTTTTCATGGGTTTAGTTGAGGGTTCGCTGTCTTGTCTTGATTTAAGAGTTAGGTAAGGGGGGAAGCAGGATCTGCCAAGCAGGCAGACACGAGTCTGACAGGATGGGGAGTCAGTTTATGTCCTGGCTGAGGAATGTAAGGTCTGCGGGTCAACTAGAAGATTTACCAGCCAAAGGGGGGTTAGAGACACACCAACACTATTCAACATACACACTCTGTTTACGATGTTTACGTTAAGTCAGGAGTCTGGACATTGGATGTGACCGGATCTTTAGATGCGGGAGGTGGAAGGTCCTCCTCTACGCCAGTTTAGGGCCAATAGAAATATTTCCTTCTCTGTCTTTCAAGGGTTATAAAACATGATGTTCTTGCTGATGTTAGTTAGTTGTTCTTCCGGCCTGTGTGCTGCCTGAACTGCTCCTGCCTTTGCAAACGCAGCGCTGATACTTGACCTGTGATCTGACAAATAAATTTTCCAGAACGAGAGAAGTCATTCGGCTGAATTTTTGATAACCCCGACCGGGCTCCAAATCTTGAACACGTATTCTTACAGTATTGTTGGACGAGAATTATTATATCAAATAAAAGGGATTGTGGCAGAGTAGTCTGAACCCTTGATGACAGGTAAGAATCGCACGTTTTCTAATCCAGGTGTACACACACAATAATAAAGTGCAAGATGTCTAATACTGCAAACCACAAACTATCAATAACTGGATTGTCGTTTTGATACTAATACAAATTACATTATGAAGAACAGACAAAAATATTTGAATACAACACAAGTAAAACTTTGTCCAAACCCTCAACAAATATCGAAAATATTCTTTTAACATGTGTCCTGTATTACACCGTAAATTACAGCAGAAATATATACATTTATAGTAAATTATATTACAATTACATATTTATAAATATTTGGATTAAATTGTTAAACACATATGAAACATGCTCAAACATACTCCAACATAAATATGTGAAATCATTAATAATCAATAAGTCAACAACAAAATTCTGCAATTAAAAAGGATATGACAATTAGTTCTTTGTGAACATGATTAAAAAAACTCATTTTTTGGCTCAGCCTTTATCCCACACACTTAAAATATTTTACAATTTTTAAAGTTATGCTAAATGTGTAAAAGAAAACAGAATACAATGTAAAACAAAATATTTGATTTATTTTATAACCATGCAGTGTGTAGTACTTTGCTTTTAAACTTAGTAACCCAGAACAACATACAGTATTATGGTGTAACCTGTTTATCAAATATTTCAATGCCCAGCAAAGATTGTGTTCAATAAATAATACAGGAGACAGTGAGAAAGTTGATGCTGTACTATTAATTCGTTTTTTTATCATCAATAATCAAAATTCGCAATGGTATTTGGCAGACGGCTTGGTATCTCAATGGTGACACACATAAGCGAAATGTCTGCAACTGCACCTTCATATGAAAAAGTACAACTGGGTGATTTACTTCCCGGTCATAAAAACTCAAAGTATCGCAGAATAAAAGAATGGGCTATGACTGTATTCCTAAAACAATTAAATAATGTCCCTTTTTGCTGATGATTATCGTGCCCCCCCCTCAATACATCTATATTTTATTCACGGCGTGTGGGAACTGGTTTGCTTCCTACCTTTGAGGTCGAAAACATGGGACTCGAAACTCTGAAAATGAGACTTTCCTCTGGCTCGGACGTCTATAACGACGACGTCATGCAGACACAGAAGCTTAATGGCAGTGTTCGTAGTAAATGGATTTTAGAGACCTTTACATTTTCTGTTTTTTTGAGGGCCAAACAAATGGCCCCTTTTCCCCTCAGCTGTTCATTTACTCGCACTTCACCGACTCGATCGCTCCTCGGCACACTGAGCCTGAGCAACAGTTCCCATATGTCATGAGCGCAGCACGACTTCCTTTATATGATAGGGGGCAAACACTGAGACGACTCTAGGCTGTCCTTTCTCTCCGTGTCCACTCCCTCTTGCGGCTTGATGATGATGTGAACGGGCCTCTCCCCACCTCCTTCTTGCTGCTTGGCATCCGTGGACATCTTCCCCTCATTCTCACCCGCCTCCTCCTCCGCTGAGGCCCCGATGGGCCGCAGGCGTTCGGCGGGAGCCATCTTTGCTGCTGCTGCTGTTCCGTCTCTCTTCAGCTTGTCGGTGGTGCTGCTTTCTGAGCTGCCTTTCTCTGCTGTGCCATGGAAACAAGATGCATTAAATTAACACACTCTTTCGGAATGTCCGCTGCGATGGCAAAAGCTAATGGTTTGCTGAGAGTGAGCCGCACGTCACTATTCCAACTGAGCCATAAGGATTTTATTATGCACTATCATATGTATCTCTGATCTATTTTAGCTGTTTTTTTCTTACTTAAATATGGCTATTATCCAAAGTTCATGAAATGGACTGTTCTTTGTATGTCCAACATACACGGCAAATAAATGCTTCTGACTCTGACACTCTTACCAGGCTTGCTGGTCGAACTGTCGGAGGCCTTCTTCGCTGGTGGCTTGGTTCTTGGGCGGACTCTGTTGAAATTTCCCTCCAGGATCCACTCATGCTGCAGCCCCTCGTCTGGAGTCATACGCTTGGTAGGGTCCCAACTGAAGACACGCACACAAAAACAACTCAAGTCGGGTCGATCATTTCATCTTCAATAATCACTCAAGCAACCTCAACAAACAAGAAGACAAATGTTGGGGGAAAATTGTTGAGCCTGCGTGGGGTGAGGCTCTCAGGAATGTGACCTTTGACGTGAGCCGGTGACTTAAGGCAGTCCAGGGTGAGATAAGACACAGATGAAATCATACGTGCCCTGACTGACCTTTTAGATGTTGTTGATTGTCTGGGTCCATAAAGGGAGGGTCACGGGGTCACCCCTACATCATCTGGTACTTCCCACACTCCTCTTGAGGGGTGGGCTCTCCTGTGCTAGGGCAGCACAAACCTCCCTGAAGTGTACATAAGCTCCTGTTCTCCTCTTCAGCTTTGTCAGATCTTCCTGCTCCTTTTGGGGGAAGGAACATCTGTCCCTTTTCAGCTGAATTGTAGTCATTTGACTTCTGTCTGTGCTTACGACTTGTGCTGATGATTTCTGTATTCTTTATCTTTTTCCTATATTCTAGTTAGTAATAAATACTTATTCACAAAGCAAGCTCAAGATACGTTTGATTTCTCACATGGGCTAAATTCCACCACAACAAACAACAACAACAAACAGAAGTTCAGTTTTCTTTTTTTTTTTTCCAGATGTTTAGCATAAACCTACGTGAGGCAGCGCTTGATGAAGTCTAAGAACAAAGCGTTGTTTGTTTTCAACGTCGCCGACAGCTCCTTGGAGTTGGGTCGTCTCTTCTTCCCTTTGCTATTGGTGATGCTCCTGGGATTTCCTTTCGAGTCTGCACACAATTATCCAACACATCATTGGTTTGTAATCTCGGCACATTGATCACATTGGATGAGTAGTGTCACACCTCTTGCAAAGCATGGCCTAGTTATTCATTGTATTCTGATAATGTTTAGCAATCCTTTAGTCTACCAAAGGGTAAAATATGATATTAGAAATATCTAAAGCTGAATAAATACTCACCAAAGAAAAGCCTCCTCCTCGCAGCTGACTGAACAAAATCGTTCGGCGGCGCGCCAAGAACCTGTAAATAAAAAATCACATCACCAACTCAACAGCTGTTTGAAGTTGGTGAAGTTTTCATGCATTATTATTTCCAAGTCATACCTCCATTATGCAGGCGATCTGCTCCATTTCGCTCTCTCCTGGGAAGATCGGATAGCCTGTGTAGAGTTCAGCAAGGATGCAACCCAGACTCCACATGTCGATGGCCATGCTGTACGGGTGACCCATGATGACCTCTGGGGAGCGGTAGAAGCGACTCTGGATGTAGGTGTACACTGATGGTTGAGACAGATGAGACTGAGGGTTGCAAGATGCACTGTGGACCATTTCTTAATTACTGAATATCTCTACATGGTTAAGTATTGTTACATATTGTCTAAATTTAGTTCAATGCTCTTACCTTTTTGTTGTTCATAACAGCTGGATCCAAAGTCAACCACCTTGATGTTCCCCGGCCCCCTCTGAGATAGAAGGATGTTCTCCTGTTGAAAAGGGGAAGCAAAAACCTTCATACCAGTTGCTTTTATAAACTGCAGCTGCATTATCGTTACCTTCAACAAGATGGAGAAATATTTGCACTTATTGTTGTGAGGGAGTTCATCTGATTATCATCAGCAGTGCAAAAGAGTGGTCCACATCAGGGCAGTACCGGTTTGAGGTCGCAGTGTATAATTTTCTCCCTGTGCAGCATCTGCAGGCACCTGAGAAGAGCGTAGGTGAACCGACGGATGAGAGCGAGACTGAAGCCCTGGAAGTTGTTTTTTTTGATGAGCTCGTACAGGTTCACTCTGACGAAAGAAACGACACAAGATACCGTTAGTTCACAATGTTGTTAAACTTCATGAGATGATTTATTTTCTTTAGGATAATCTGCATTTAAGTACTTTGTTCCATATATACAGAACAAACTCAGTACTAATTCACTTAAAAAATGATGCACCACAGGAATCATTTCTAACATCCGCTGAGTGAGAAGTACATTGTTAAATAATCCTTGATTTCGCTCTCATTCAGAGGGAACAGACGCACAGAATGGATCCCGCTACTATTTTCATGCAACTTGTGATAAGCATCGACTTCTTTGGACTGTGTAACTCGAGCCTTCACACCGCAAAGCAAGAAAGGGTAAGAGGTATGGCCAGGGCCGTTTGAAGGAATTTGGGGGCCCCAAGCAAAATGGACATGGAGGCCCCCCCAAGCCCCCGCTGCGTGCACGCAAAACCTACAGGAACCACAGCACAGCCATAAAGTTTAAGTTCACATAATGTGCATGAAATTTAACAATTTAACATTTGCACACTACCATAAAATCAAATATACATTAAAAAAGTGCACAATAACTAAAGCAGTCAGCCCTGCAGTGAGGGGCCCCTTGAGGGGGCATCCCAATAACGGTGTCATTGCACTTTACTGCATTGACTATCAAAGGGGCGCTCACACAGTTTGTCGTTGCATTTGACTCTTAACAAGTCGTTGTCATGGGGCCCCTTGCCAGCTCGGGGCCCTAAGCAATTGCTTGGTTTGCCTGTCCTGTCGCGACGGGCCTGGGTATGGCTCTACTCAAGGCCTTAACTAAAGGATTGCGTTACAGTAATGTAAGACAGGGGGACACTCCCAGGCGTCCTCTAAAGGTCATTCAGCCTGAGCGATACACAAAACTGTCTCCCTTCAAATAGTTAAATCTTAGATAGATGCAAACAGGTGAGGCCGTCCACTGTCACCAGACGCGCACTAACCCCAGAAGCTCAAAGGAGATGCACAGGTGATTTCGGAAGTAAAAGTACTCCTTCACGTGGATGACGTTGTGGAGGTTGTCTTTGTCTTTCCTTTTTATCACATCCAGGATCTTCAACTCCACCAGGGCTTGGTGATGAAACCTACACATGCATTTATGGAGGGCGTTAGATAGGTTGAATACTAAAATATTACATGATTCATTTTATTATTTATTTCTGAATTCCCAGGTAGGGAAAGGGCCACAATAAAATGATATACGTCTTTAAATTCTGACATACCAAATAAGGATCAATAGCAGCACTTTTTGGAAATGTTTGTTATACTTTACGAACGTTTCTGCTGTTGATGATGTCTGAGGGGTTTGTCCCAGCACATCAATCCCTGAATATTTACTTACTAGTATTACTAGTATTGATATATATGTCAACAACACACTGTCCCCTGCGTGGAGAAATGAGCCAAGTTCTCCTGAGACAAGCAGTTTGGACATTTGGTTATCTGCATTTTCAAAGCCGCAGTAAGACCCATGACCCCTGCATCTGACCTCTAACTGTGTTTCCAACTTCTATAATGCTAAATCCAAATCTCAACCATTCACTCAAATTTGACTAAAATGTAAAATGCTTTTGTCTTTTGGGCCTTTGGAAAACCTCACAACAAATTGAGTCCTTTCTTGTGATGTTTAAGTTATTTAACTTCAACTTCATGTCAAAAGTGACATGGTTGGAATGAAATGAAATAAATCTAAATTAAATATTTGAGTCTACTGGTACCTTTTCTTATTGCGTATCATCTTAATGGCCACGAGTTCATTGTTCTTATGGTCCAGGCATTTCAGGACCTGCCCAAAGTAACCTTTCCCAATCACTTCGAGCACTTCAAACCTGTATCCAATATGGTCATGCAGCACCTGAAGAAGACAAAGGAAGAGCACTGTGAACACTGGAGCATTATGCACTGCATGCTTTTTTTACTGAAACAAAAATATCCATCATTTCATAATAACGACGCAGTTGATGGGCTCTGCATCATGCTCACTCGCACTGATCCGCTGCGTGCTACAGTTTCCGCTGTGCTTTTCTAATGCTGTCACTTCAGGCTTGCAGCAGTGAGGTGAAAGTGGCTCAGCCTTAAACAGCTCATTCATCACACATTGTCTAACAAATAACGGCCTGTCGGTCGCCTGATTTCTACAAGACGGTTCGCCCCGTTGTCACCAGGCAGGACAACCGCAGTTCAGTTCATTGTGTTCAGTATAAAACAATGAAGTCCGCCAATCAGACTGTCTGCAGCTGCTGGATTGAGGTCACATAAAGGCGGTGCATTTTTAATGTTTCCACAGGGCCAATTATAGAACTATACTGGGGATTTAACACCATGAGTTTTAGTTAGAAAAATGTATTTCTCCAAATTTGCATGAGATACAGTCCAAGATTCTATACGGTCAATATTTAGTCACCTTTGTTAAGCAACTTAGGATTTGCAAAAGCGTAAATCCTCTTTATCCAGGATGCTTGTGTGCATTGTTTAGATGAAATTGAAAGTTTGAGAGTTTCAAGAACAACATTTCTAAATATACTAATGTTTGACATTCAAAAAAATAGTAAAAAAACAAACAAACGAAAAAATTAAATTGTAACATTGTAACATAGCTTTGACTAAACAAAAGACTTGTTTTGCGACAAACCAACCATCTTACCCTGACGTAGCTTCCATGCCCGTCATCATATCCAGAGTTCTGCGGTGAACCTTGGGAACCCTCGATCTTCTGAGAGCCCAGACCAAGGAACCAGATCTCTGCGTAGTCCATGATTTCCTCCTGCTCAAACTCTGTCATCCGGTCCTTGAAGTTCTTCAGTGCCTCTGCAAGTAAGGAGGAGGCTGAGATGAGTCACTATTACATGCATGACATCTCTGCCAGCAGAGGAGGATCGTGAACAATCGACTTCAATAACGGCATGCTATTTTTACTGCATCCAAACTGCATGTTACTTAAAACCGCCTCTCTTAGAAACCCCCCGAAAGATTCAATGTGAGATAAAATCTATGCAAATATCTCAGTATTACATTCTCATCCACAGTGTCATACCTGTGGGGGACATGGGTAACTTTTGTCCTTCGTATGCCTTCTCTTTCTCCAGCTTGTTGCTGAAAATCTTGCTGTTGCGGGAGACGGACCCTTTATCCACTGCTGTACCGATGCGCATGCCGAACTGCTGGGTGGGCTTCGACCTCTCGTCCTGTACAATACCACACACGCACACAGACAGCAAAGTACCTTTGTAATTATGGGCAAAGAAAAGATAAAAGTAGTGACATTTCCCGTTCGCTGCAACTAGTTTGCTGTTTTTTAGTTTTGAGTTCTATTAGCTACTGCGGAGAAATATTGATGCTTCATTTGTCTTTCCATCAGAAACATCATTAGGCGCCTTAATGTAAAATAGCTGCCACTACAGAATACTACAGTCTCACTGGGTGTGCCTGGTAGTTGTTTTGGCCCCCTTTGTTGGCAATTTGGGGCAAGATGTTGTCCGACTGCTGTTGTTGGTTTTTGGCATTGCTGACCACAACCTGGACCACCGGCGGCTCAAGCGCGGGCAGGGTCCCTGCACCAGGGCCGAATTTCTGTGAACCAGAGGGATTGTTTTTTATTTTCACCACATTGACTAAAGAAATGCACATTAGAAACCATGAAGTCAAGAACCATCAAGTCACCCTAAAATGTCTGGCAAAGAATGCAGACCTCATTCTAACGCCAAAAAAATACATAGTGAGAAAACGACCAAAGAAAATGGCCAAATTCCACAGCTAGAAAGCTTTCAAGTTAATTCCCTGTATGGAACAGCCCACAGTGTTCCAATATCAACCACTGAACTGCCCATCTCCAAACAACAAATGCATCTGGAAATACTGGGTGTTCTTTTTGACACCATACCCATGACCCTGTTACAAGCCCTCTCACTTTATCGGTCGGGCTTGAGCTGGTGGTTTGTGTTCTCAACTCGATCTGCATCCTTTTTCACGTGCATCCCGTCCGAGGCCGCTCAGGTGACCAGGACCCCCAGCAGGCGGCGACGGCTGGAATTACTGATCAGGTTCAGAGTGAGACGAGGACAAAACGCGCGAGGCTGGAGTCCTGACAGAGTCTGTCTGTAGTGGCTCTGCGGGGGAGGTGGAGAGCAGCGGCCTGCTTTTCACTGGCTGCCATGCAGCTTGCTCCGGGAGCATGGTTACATGTGTCACGGTTCTAGCGAGGTTTAGCCCTGGCAATGACGGGCAAAATTAGACCTCTGCCCTGTGCCAAGTACTGCGGGAAAAGTGAGAAACTCCAAAGAATAGTATCAGTGTCAACAGAGGCATCATACCAGGGGTGTCAAACTCATTTTAGGTAGGAGGTCACTTGAGGCTGGACCAGTCAAATTATTGATGAACGCTGTCGTCGGTCCCCCTGGTCTAACACACTTACAGAGTGCGACCCCTGTGGACGTTTTAGGAATAGCAGCTACTTTTACAGAAAAGCAATTTATGTCTTTCTGTCATTTTTACACTTAGCTAAGTCAGTGTATAACCAGGGACATGCTGCCTTTAAAAAGCTGCACTTAGACCCCATAACAACATAAATGCGGACAAAAGTCTACAGCAACATTTATGATTTTCCTTAGGAGTTTGTCAATTTTAAATTGGGCTCTTGTTTTCCAATGAGCTGCTTGGCTAATGATCAAAACAACATAACAAGCATCTGAGCACGAAGCATATCTAAGTCTTTTATTTCTAATAGGAGACAACATTGTGGAGTAGCTCAATGCACGTCAATGAACAACAACAACAACAACAAAAAAGAGACTAACTCTCTCTTCAGCAACACTGATGAAACAACTCCTTAAACCTCATGTAGGTCTAACACCAAATGTAAATGATGCCCCTGTTGGTTCTCGTGCTGGACCAGTGCCCAGCTGCTACAGCCTCTTGCTGGGGGGGCAGCGCTGACCTGTGAGCATGGTCGGTTCGTTCCAAGACGGTTGCTTTCTGCCGGCAGCCTGTGAGGGTGAGGGAAGGCCTCCGGGCGCAACGTCTGCGGGAGGAATGACAACAAGTCATTAAAAAAACAGCTATATTTTTCTTCAAATAGCGGCACTGCATATAACATAATCAACTCCCTAGGTGAGATTTAGAAATTATTTTAAGCCAAGAGGCCAACCAAAGCGGTCGTGAATAATAATGAATAATAATAAGTGCTGCTGCGTGGATTCCCTCGTCTCTCCAGAAACACGCAGCCTGTGGGCAGCGAGACGTCAAGATGATCCCGAAATAGATTACTTACTGTGTACCTGCTGGTCTGCGCAGGTGTGTGAACATGTGCGCGTCCATGTGTCTGGCTGCGGGTGTCCACGCGTCACCAAGCCTGCGCACTACAGATCACTACAATAAGAAGTAATAAAGAGACAGAGCTCTGAATCTACTGAAGTAGCACACGCATTTGGAAGGATTGTGTGCGATTCACTCGGACACCAAACCAGCTTATACGTGTCTCGTTAATCAGACATTGGCCGACACCATATGGGCGAAATAGAGCTTAGGGATGCGTGCTAAACTAATTCTGGATGCCTGCATTTGGATAGTAAGGGAGTGACGGGCTGGATGTGGTCTACAGGTGCTGGAAAAGAAACGGGCTTTGCAATCGAACAGTAAACCTCTGATTAAAAAAAACCCCCTAACAGCTGTCATGGATAAGAGGACGAGAGGCTGAACTGAGTTCTTACCTACTGGATGTAAACACATCCTGTATACACTCTTTGGCTTCCCCCGTCACGTTGATGCAATCCTTTAGAAAGCCAGCATCAGAACACATATTCCAGGGCTGCCCTACTTTAGTCGATTACTGTTGATTAAATCAACTAATTGATTAGTCAACAAAGTCGTAGGTGTTTGCCAACTAGGAATCTCTGTAATGGACGGCCCCAATGCTACAAGGATGTAGTCACGTTGCAATGTGAGGAGCACAGTGAGTCACCTGTGAATGCCATAAGCCTGGCTAATGAGCACAGACGTAAACATGTGTGCATTTCTCACGCCTGTATTTTTCTTACAGAAACATCTATCATTGATTGCTAAAATTAATGTTTGCCCAAGAAAGCATATGGGAAAGTAAATCATTATTCCTGCGTGGCCATAAATACAGTCCATTTGCACAGGGGCGCTAATAGAAAACATCAAAGCGGTCATTATGGATGTGAAATAGATGAATGGAGGCGGGAACAGATGCCGGGAGGAATGACTCTGCTCGATGTGAATGCGGGGTCTTGACTGCAGGTAGGGTCATCCTACGGGGCGTGAGAGCCACTTTACACCGGAACACATATAGAATCCTGTCAGCGCAACAGACACGGAAATAAAAATGCCCAAATTTTTCATCACAACTTGGCAAGCGCTCAGGAGAAAGGAGGCAGACCACAGATAATGTGAATAATTGCAAAATGAGAATCACTTTACATTCTCGGTGTGTTTCAATAGAAGCGATTCGATAATGTACAGTGAGTGTTTGTCTGTTATTTTAGTTCATCAACGTAAAAGGATACCTGTGGAGGGTTTTTCCCAAAATGGAATTAGCCTGGAACGAAGCCCTGTATCTGGGCAAAATACATTCTTATTCCATGGAAAAGCCAAAATAGTAAATGTGCTACAGAAGAATGCTAAAGTTACATAATGACAGATAAAGTTTGGTTGTAACAATATAAAGACACTTTGATTGGTCACGCACTGCTTTCAAATCGACCACATTACAAACCAGAGCACCACTTTCAAGCTCTTCTAAACCTCAAGAAACTACTATTTACCAACCATCCAAGTTGCCGGCAAAAAAATGCCTCACCTTGTTATTTATTTCTGGCAGCATGTTGTTCGTTATCAGCGTCAGTCTCTACAGCGGCTTCACCAATCCACACACGGAAGAGAGTTACTTAAAATCCAACACAAGACACATTGTGTCCGACCCTGCCGGTCCAGCCTCACAACCCAGGCGCACTTTCCACAACTCCGGCAGCAGTACTGAATCAACCCCGACGAGTAGGCTACAATCCCCGAGGACCGATCGGATCCGCGGACCCGGAGCTACGCGCTTTTACGCGCGAGGTGCAAGTGCCGCCGTCGTCAAGAGATCCGATTAGCGAGCGCGCCGAGCTGCGGAGGGTCTCTGCGCCTTTGGCACGTTCCGCCGAGGCACCGGCGCAGACCACCTGTTCAGGTTTCCGCCGCTGACAGCTGGAGGTGTATTGATATAGATTGTTTTTTTATCCATCCGACCACTCACCGTGCCGTGTGACTGATGCGCTGTGCGACACCGACGCTTTTTTCTTTTTTACAGGCGAGGGTTCACACCGACGCGCGCACGTCGTGGTCGACGCTTATTTTACCGTTAAATGTAGTGCTCACTCCTGCAAAACCTCACCACGTGGTCTCGTTGGCATTCTGTAAATCGAGTCGTTCTTGAATTGAATGAATTGACAAGAACTGATGGTTTCACTCGTTTCCATTTGTTTTTTGCCTTTTTTTCCAGGGGGTTCCATGTATGTGGCACCGTTTGTAAAATGTTGCACGTTCCAAAATCCTGCGCAGTTTTTCCACATTTAGCATTATCATATGAACAAAAAAGCACGACAATGTCGACATATCACTTTTTCAAACATTTAGAGAGTAATTTATGTACATTCATGCAATAACTTTTCCAAGGATAATGTTTTGGCAGTAACAAAGTTGTTAAATAGAAAACTTTGTGTTACTGCGCCAGAGCCGACACACAACGTAGTGAGATACGTCTCACAAAAAGCAAATAAATGTTGCGGCAGTAAAAAGGGGCTTGAAGAATCCCTACAATAGGTTGAATCAACCTGCTGACGTTACATTCGCGAACAAACTGTTTCTTATCACTCTTTCGTGCTACCGCCCGGTCATCTCGGACGTTGACCTTGAGGGTAGCTCCCTCTCCACTGACGCAGCGGGACCCCGGCAACGGTACAACCAAACCACGGCTTTTAAATGCTTTTTCTTATCGCTTTAAAAACGTTTTAAAGCCCATCAAAAATGAGCCGCGACAGAGACTCAGATGATTCTGGCGAGACTGTGGCCTCGGGATTCCGAAGGTCATGATCCCCAAATAGGCGGCTCACACAGCAGCAACCTAGACAAGCTGTGTTACAAAACCTATATGTAGCCTCGGGAGATATGTGCACATACGAACCCGAAGCTCCCTCTGTTGTATTAAACCCATGTAACAAGTGGCTCTCACACGGAGGGGGAGTCGCAAAAGCGATGGCCGACCGTTTTCCCGACCCGGTAAAACGCCATTACACATGGCATCATGGGGGAGCCAACCTCCCGTTCACGGACGACGGTGTAGATTTAATAAAATTAAATGATGAAGGGTCAAACGTGGTCGGTCTAGCAATGGTCTGCTACGACCCAGAGGATAGACCTCCCGATCGGGACCAATCCAACAGACAGACAGCATACTTAACCTCGGTCTTGGGAAATGGCAGTCCGCACCATAGACGGGGAGAATAGAAGCGGCCCGGACTTAGAGATAAAAGAAATAGTCACAAGGAACAAGACGAAGAGCTAATAGCGTGGGTCCTAGCTCCGAGAGGAGAGTGCAATTTGAACCACTCACACCACCTAGGGAACTGTTTAGCGCAGCTACAGCCTCCACCCCATACAATCCAAATAATCCATCAAGCGAAACCCCTAATGGCCATTACGAGACCCTAATACAAACAGCGCGCAACGCCCAAGCTGATGCGGAGGAAGAGGATTGTTACATCAATGTCGGCCTCAAAACCCCCATACAAAATCAGATCATAGAAAGTATCAAAAAACTGGGCTTAATCATAAACCATGAAGAGGCTGAGGATGCGGGGGAAGAAAGCTCCTCCTCCACAGAAAGGGAGACAACCGGGGACGAGGGAGTAAAATCAGATAGGTCTACTAGGGTTACACCGCCTGCACTGACCCAAATGCTGTGGAACACAGCAACTCAAAATCCCGCGAGAAAAAACGATCAGGCGGCCTTCAGGGAGCCCACACACTTGGATCCACCTAGAACATCGAAGGGTCTCCACCCGGCTAAATCAAAAAGCTACCCCCATCCCGCCTGAAGAGGCCCCAATCACATCAGGCCCGTAAGGCAATAAGGACGCCACGGGTCAGCCACAAAACCCTGAAAGGAACCTATGGGTAGACAAAAGTACTGGAGCCATAATAGGCATCCTAGGAGAATCCCCACAGGTCCTACTCCCTTCAGAGAAACCATTATACTTCATAGGCCATAGGACGCAACCGATAATGGAGGACCCCGTCTCAGAAGGAGACGTTAGAAGGGCTATCGGGGCTAAAATATACGAGAAATCAACGGCTAGGTGGGTTCAAACGCACGGGGGAGGAAACCCAGAGGGCCACAAGGAAGGATGCATAGCCACCTTAGACGATACAGGGAAACTCGAAAATAGAATAAGGAGGGTACGCCTCTGTAAGACTAGCGGCACAAACATCAGGGCATAGCTAATTTACTCTCTGAGCGAGGCCATACAGGACTCCCGGGATGCGGGAGATGAGGGCATCATGATAAGGGCCCATAATAACAACAAAGCCTACGGTAACCTATTTCCATCGCAAGTAACTGACGCTTACATAGACTCTATACCGTTCGAAGGCATTCCAAGTAACTTCGTGGTTCTGCTGCTTGTAAAAAGGGACACCGAGGGATGCATGACAAAAATAAGAGAGAGAAGGGAAAGAGAAGTCTTAGAAGGATATAGCTTACCTGGGGACATAACACATGACCTGGGCCCATGCGTCACCAGAGAGGTAACCCCAATCAGGCGACCTCGCTTAAGGGCCCAGACTCCCCCACCATTCCCATCACGGAGCTTACCACCAATGGACCCCTGAGTCCCCTTACCCAGTACTCTCACATAGAACCAGGCCCCATTACGGAGCAAATAAAACCAGGGAAAACCCGCTTCATACAATCTAAAAACACAAGAAGTGGCCCCCTCCAAAGAGGAATCCTTAACCCGCAAGGGGGAGTACAGAACCCTTGTTATACCGCAACGACCCAAGAAGGGGACGTATTTTGCCCACTTCTAAGCGACCAGGAATGGGAAAACACACTAGAAATGGGAGATGTTCCCGCCTGGTACGCCGCAGATCAGCTAGAAAGAGGTATAGTTCGCACCATGCCTAGCTCCAGAGACATAGACTCCCTTCTGAGTGTAACCAAAACCCATTAAGACTTGCAGCACCGAGTCGGCTACGACTGGCTCCTCGAAAGGGCCAGAGCGAGGGATCGCTCAGTAGAGAGATATTTCTCAGAACTGTCAGACGTTGAGCAGGAAAGAGTGAGGAAACGTGCGAGAACACATAAGGGCTCAAATGTCAAAATTACAAAAAAGCCGAAGCAAAAGAAAAAAAGGGAAACAGGAGAAGAAGGGGCCCATCGCCCCCATCCTCCTCTTCCTCGTCATCCTCGTCACCCTCGTCATCCTCCTCAGACGACTCAGGAAGCTCATCTGAATCCGAAGAGGGCAACGTGACACATAGCCGACAAAAGTGGGCTCAAAATAACTGGGAAAGGTCTTCTACGGGCAGAAAAGTGAAAAAGGTCAAAGACAAAGCCCCCAAGCTAAGCAAAGAATGGCTCGAACACTTCCCAGATAAAAAGCCTTAACAAACAGAACAAGAGTGTATAATTGAACTCGTAGAAGAAAGGGGATTAGCCCCATAACAGCTGGATAGCACAACAGTCACCATGTGGCTGAGAGTAAAACAGGGGATAATCCTACCAACAGGAATAACTCCCTCCACAATATATTATTTCAAAACCAGGCGAGCAGCTACCGAGCCTCTAGAGGCAAAAATAATCAAATACGCCAAAAGCGTCAAGAACTCAGAAAAAACTTTAGGGCTAGCCATGAGACTCCTTAGAGGGGACCCAAACTGTAATATAATCCACGAGGAGAAACTCTTAAACTTGCTGCCCGGTACCCAGAATATGGTGGTCGACTGGGAGGCCATAAGCACCAAAGAAAAGCTTAAACAGGTAACCACGTACGATAAAAAATCACAACACAGAAAGAGTGCCCCAAAAAACGAAAGGGGTCCCCAAGACCGCACGACCCCTACCCCGGCAGCACCGAGGAACAGGTCAGAACAAGCCAATCAAAGAAGGGTTGTCACGCACTTTCATGCACATCCCGAGAAGACACCCAATTGCCCAAGTACCGAGTGGCACAAAATAGGGACACCATGACCCGTAATGAGGACTCCACCAGAAACCTTGAGGGGCCCCAGGCCAAGCCCTAATGGGGCACCACCGAGAATGAACGTGGAGACTTGGAGCACATATGTGAAGGGAAAGGATGGCTCCGGCCCTATGCCTTGGGTCAGCAGACCAGAGTTTGCAACAATGACCAAAGAAGAAAGGGACAAATTAATGGAGAAAAAGAGAAAGTGGGAAGAGAAAAACCCGAGGCCATCTTAGTTGCTCAGGCACCCATCAAAGAACTAATAAAGATAGGATTCATGGAGGGACAGTGGATAAAGGCTAATGTACCGCTAAAAACTGGTCATACAAATAAAATATTTACCTGCGACACCGGAGCAAATATCTCGGTAATAAAGAAAGGCGAAGGGACCCCACTAGAAGGAGCAACAATAGAAGTACAGCTAGCAGACGGTCAAATAAAAGACACACCTTTATTCCTGTACAACGGTAAAGTAGCAATAGAAGGCAAAAACAGACTGTTGGGCATAAAAGACTTCTCGTGAGCCGAAACGAATAAAATGAACAACGAGCAGGATTTT